CTAGTTTGAGTGTTGGCATATGACTCTGAAGACCAGGATTCAAATTCTTACTTTGCCATGGAAACCCACTAGGAGATTTTTGATTTTGGACAAGTCAAACTCTCTCAGATTTAGAGGAATGCAAAGGCAAACCCTCAGTGAACACATCTTGCAAGAAAACCCCATGATGGTTCACCTATGGCTTGTCTCAAGTTGGAAATGACTTGAATGCACCCAGCAACAACAAGGTCCTGTGTAGTAGCCATCAAAGTAATAGATCTTGATGGCAAATTTACAATTTGTATATGTACTACTAGTGTCATTAATTCAGATTTCAAAGTAAGAGATACCTATCTCTGATAGCCCAACTAAATCATATTGTAAGGCATTAATACAATAACTTAATTGCTTGAATGTTACACACTTACCCACATGCAAGTGCATTATATCCTATGGAACATACTCTTTAGTAAGTATATTTACTTCTATTCCTAGGCACAATTTCTTGGGAGTAAAATCTACTAGATTCAATGGGACTTGCTTCCAAGTATTCATGCACAAGACTAGGCTATTACATGGATGCTCATATAATGTGCAGGACTGGAAATCCCACCTGTTCAATGGTAATAGCATTCTAAGGTATTTTAGAAGGAAAGTATATAAATTGTCAAAGAAAATAGAGAGTTCATAATCTGTACTGAGAACCAGCCACCTGTTCATAATCATAATCTCTGCTGAAAAACAAGATCATCAAGTAGGGATGATATTTTATTTGGGAACAATGAACTCAATCCAATAAGCAGCATTTGGTGTTTGTATTTTTTGTATTTTTTAAATTCCTACTTCCACTAGGAAGAATTGGTCCAAGGTAGGACTGTTTGAAAGACAGGTCAGATATAGTGTATTTGGCATTCTGAAGAAACCTAATGCCATTTTATAAATTAAACAAGGAGATCATTTATAGTGAAGATCAAAATTGGATGGGAAGAAACAAATTAGCAAGGGCTAAGCAGGGAAGCCTACATGGTGAAAAGCTTTTCACTTGCAGTGAGGTATTCACCAATTTCATGGGAAGAATGTTGTTTTCAAGAATCCGACCATGGTGTCTCGAAATAGAATGACTGCATTTGCCATATGGTAGAACACCCTCATACATTTGGAGATTAATATGTTGAATGAAGGAAAGGGGAATTTGCCCAGAACCTGATTCTACCATTTATGCAACACTGTGATTAATCTCATCTTTCACTTTTGGAAATAACATTTCATTTGGGATACATATGTATATACTCTCCCAAACTCAAAAAATTACACATGTTAGGGCTGTATTGAGTGAATGAAATATTAAGAACTACGGTATGTTGTGTGTCCTCAAGTCATTTCTCATTTATGGCATCCATAGGTCAAATCTATTCTGGGAACAATACAATAGTTAAAATTAAGAACAATTTTAACCAACATAAAAATAACAATCTTTCAGTGGAAGACCCCAGAGGCCATCTAGTCCACTCCACTCCTGTCATGTGGGAAAAGCACAATCAAAGCACCCCCAACAGATGGCCATCCAGTAGTGGTAGTAGTAGTAGTAGTAATACTAATAATAGCAGAAACCCCAGGGGTTATCTAGTCTATATCCCTTTATTCTGCCATGCATGAAAAGTATAATCAAAGAACCCATAACAGATAGCCAGCCAGCCTTTGTAACAACAATAACAACAACAACAACCAGACATCATGATTGTGGAAAAGAAATAAGTCTGGATTTTTGATGTCGCCATACCAGATGACAGCCGCATTGAGGAAAAACAACAGGAAAAACTCAGCCGCTATCAAGACCTCAAAATCGAATTGCAAAGGCTCTGGCATAAACCAGTACAGGTGGTCCCAGTGGTCATTGGCACACTGGGTGGCATGCCAAAAGATCTCAGCCAGCATTTGGAAACAATAAACATCGACAAAATCATGATCTGTCAACTGCAAAAGGCCACCTTACTTGGATCTGCGCGCATCATTTGAAAATACATCACACAGTCCTAGACACTTGGGAAGTGTTTGACTTGTGATTTTTTTGATACGAAATCCAGCATATAGATCTCATTTGCTGTGACATACTGTGCTTTTGTGTCAGTAAAATAATAATAATAATAATAATAATAATAATAATCATCATCATCATCATCATCATCATCATCATCTTTATTTATAGACTGCCCTCTCTCCCTGAGAGGACTCAGTGTGGTTTAAAACAGGCAAACATTCAATGCCCTATGCAAATACAAACATCTCTAATAATAATAATAATAATAATAATAATAATAATAATAATAGCAGAAACCCTATTATTATTATTATTATTATTATTGACACAAAAGCACAGTATGTCACAGCAAACGAGATCTATATGCTGGATTTCGTATCACAAAATCACAAGTCGAACACTTCCCAAGCGTCGAACACTTCCCAAGCATATTATTATTATTATTATTATTATTATTATTATTACAGAAACCCGGAGCCACAGTTGTGCAATGGGTCCTTGTGCTGGCTGGACTGCTGACTGAAGGTTGGGTTGCTGACCAGAAGGTTGCTGGTTTGAATTTGCGAGACGGAGTGAGCTCCTGTCTGTCAGCTTTAGCTTATGGGGACAAGAGAGAAACCTCCCAGCAGGATGTAACACATCTGGGTGTTCCCTGGCAACGTCTCTGTAGATGGCCAATTCTCTCACACCAGAAGTGACTTGAAGTATGTTCTCAAGTTGCTTCAGAAATAATTTTTAAAAAAGCAGAAACCCCAGGGGCCATCCAATCCAACCCCCTTCTGCCTTATGCAGGGAAAGCATAATCAAAGCACCCCCTGAGAGGTGGGAGGGAATTAGGGTTTTGGAAAAAAAAGGCAGGGGAAAATAATCTGGCTGGTGAGGGGAAAAGGCTTTTGGCTTCAAGGGAGGCAGGAGAAACGGTTTCTGCGGCAGGAAAAGGAGTCTGGGGATCAAGGAAGGCAGTGGGGAAAGGGCCTGTGCCACAGGAGGACACTGTTGCTGCTGCTGCATTTCTCTGAAGGAGGAAAGAGCCCCTCACTATCACCTGCAGAACCCCAAGGCTGCGTGGAACACAGTTTGAGAGCCTCTCTTCTAACCACTACAGCACACTGATTATAATATTGTAACACTTAACCATAAGTATACAAACATTAAAACTTAAGCAGATTTTTTTTCAGTTCAAAATTTCCAGCTTTTTTATTCTTTGTAGTCTTTGCTGATGGTTCTGCATGTTAGAGCAACCAATATGAATCCTTTAAAATAGTCACAGAATTTATCACTGTCTTGTGCTGGCTGAAAACAATAATCAAGGAATGATCTACTATATGGAGCACATGTCAATTGCTTTGCTTTCCATGAGGACTTAAAAAAAATCAATATAACTTGCAAGTGAAAATGTGCTGCTTTGCATGCGCAGACATAGATATGACTTTGAGAAAATCTGAGATCACTCTTGCCAATAGACCCGTTAAATTGGTTTTATCAGTCTGGTTGACTGGAATGTTTGGGTACATACAATAGACTCAAGTGTATTAGGGTGAAAGTCTTTCTAATACATTGCCGAATTAGACATGGCTAAATAGTTTCATAGCAATCTTCAGCTGCTCTTTCACCCCCTCCCCCCTCATCTCAGCATTCCAAAAAGAAGCGGGCTTGTGTGGAAACGTTCATAATATATTTTAAATTCAGACTTGTAATGAGTTTCTTTCTAGCTCCCCCCCCCCCCAACACACTCATACACTTAGGATATAGACAAGATAAGTTTAACATTTCATACCATAATGCTCTTTCTCTGAATGATTGTGTCCAGTTTCTTCCTTTTTTGTATTTTTATACATATGGTCCTGAATGTTGACAAGAACACAGCAGAAAGGGAAAACAAGAACTACATGGTACAGTTAATATGTTGCAGAGTGTGATTTATCTTGTTGGACTGCCATTCCATACTAGTGTAATAAGACACAATGGGAACTTCATTTCAAAATGGGAAGCTATACCATTTTAAACACTTATGTAAAGCATGCAACTCAGAAGGACCTTCTCTTATTTATTTCCAAGTAAGTACATGGGAGACATAAGCAGATTGGGCTTATCATATGCACGACGCACCCAGTCCAAACTCACTTTCAGTTTGAGATCTTATAATTTCTTCAGCTCCGTTGTTTCTTAGGATTCTTTAATGTTTGGCTATTGAGAAAAACTCAACGTGGGAAGTGTGGACTTAGCTGGTTGAACCATGAATTTATTTGTTAACGAACATACTCGTACCTCATGCACATATAAGTATACCTCGGTTAACAAAATAGATGTATTTCTGGGTTTTGTTATTTTTAACAGAAACTTTGGTGTCAGGGGCAGAAATAACATGGGAAAAACAGAGATGGTTTCCTGCACTACAAAAAAGAACAGTTCAACATGTTTCAGAACACTTTTTATTCAGAAGTAACATTATGCACATGAGAAATTAAACAGCCAGGTTAAATAAGCCTTACACGAATAACCAAAAACATTTCAAATCTTCTACAGATCACTTGAAAGACGCTTCCAAAATGTATTCCAGAATGAGTTCTTTCTTTCTTTCTAATCTATTTTCTGCTTTTCTTTCTGTTTTCTTCATCACATATGCTCAGTAACTGAACATACAGCAGCTGTTTACCTTGCTTGCTGTATGTAAGCATTCAAAACTATAATAGGATCACCCATGACTTCATCAGATGGAGTACTTTTTGATGGCATATGCTGGTTCACCTTCCCTTTTGCGATGGAGACCTCTGGTTCCCATCCCACAACTTAGAGCTACTTCTGGTGAGACTTTGTTGCAAAAGGGAAAGTGAATTGGCATATGCCACCACTGCGACAACAAAGGGGGCTTTCCGTGTTACACTGCGACAAATGGGGGGAAGCAGAGCAGTGGGTACTTCCTCCTGTCATGGGGGGGGGGGAAGCAGGTCAATGCAGTGTATGGGGCGATGGGTTCCCCCTGTCCCCTGCTGGGCACTGCCAGATTTGTCACAATACACTGCGATTCTGGCAGCCATTATGATGACGTCCCTAGAATAAAATGTAAGGAAAAGGTTTAGTGCATCTGATATCAATGCTATTAATAAACAAACAAGCAAACAACAACTTTTAGCTAGACAGAAGATAACTAAAGGGGGTTTGGACTAGGCTCCTGTAAGGGAAGAAGCTTTTTTCCCCCAGTTGCTTGTTAACTTTGGAATGACCACACATTCTCTGATGTTATTATTTCCATGCATGTAAATGTAATATCTAGAAAGTGGCCCTTAGAAAGTCCAACCTTTCTGTTTCCATCATTTCAGGCATTTAGTAAGAACTGATCCAGGAACCATCCTATATATCTAGCTAATTAGATTAAGCATAATTAGAAGTATATTGTCGAAGGCATTCATGGCCGGAATCACTGGGTTGTTGTAGGTTTTTCAGGTTGTATGGCCATGTTCTAGAACATGGCCACACAGCCTGAAAAACCTACAACTACCCACTAATTAGGACTTCATTTGCTAACAAATCAGGGAAATAAAAAGACCAGAGAACAGAAGTGGAATAAACAAAGGGCAACTTTTTCAAATTGTTACCTTTGGACTGTTTCTTATTGATATGAAATCAACTTGGGGGGGAGGGAGGGGGAGGAAGGGCAAATTTGATATGGGGAGGGTTGAAGTGATCAGTCACCTTTGACCCGAGCCCCCATCCTTCCCTGGGCAAAACACCAAAGCCTCTAAGAGCAATCCCTGATTAACATGGTTGCTCAAATGTCCAGCTCATACACTGGAGGGCTAATCAAAGGGTGTAAGCCCAAAAGCTGGCTGCTTTGGCCTCTTTGAGAAGGCAAAGACCCAGAAATCAGTCTCCAGGACAGGAGACCAAAGTATTCATAGCAACAGAGGAGAGTGTGTGGCTGCATATATTACCCAATTAAGCCATGCCCTTTCAACCCATAACTGATCACAAACTCAGCAATTACTTTCTAGATTTCCCTGAACGCCAGCCAATAGATTTACCCTGCTCTCACTGCTTTACAGTCGGATAAATGGGCTTTACTTTACTGTGTTCAAGAACAATGTGACACGAGAAAGTCTGACTACAACTGAGGAAGAAATCCTTCACGGCTTTTAGGACCTCTTCTAGGCTTGCAGCTTTTCAGATTACATATGTTTTACAGATACAGAACCATCCCAAGCTACAAGAAAAAATCTGTAGGATAAGGACCATAAGGAAGGCTGAGCAATGGAAGATAGGCCCCTTTGAACTGTGGTGCTGGAGGAAAATTCTGAAAATGCCTTGGACTGCAAGAAGAACAAACCAGTCCATGCTCCAGGAAATAAAGCCCAACTGCTCACTGGAGGGAAGGATATTAGAGGCAAAGATGAAGTACATTGGCCACATAATGAGAAGACAGGAAGGCTTAGAGAAGACAATAATGCTGGGGAAAATGGAAGGAAAAAGGAAGAGAGGCCAAACATGGGCAAGATGAATGGATGTCATCCTTGAAGGCCAGATTTTGAATGAGTTGAACACTCCATGGCTTAAATCCTGCTGCCAATCTCAGTTTAATTAGACCCAATGAGTGGGTTTGCATTTCTTCCACCTTCAGCCTTTTCAAATCTCACATTCTTTCTCTCCCAGATATGAAGGCATTTGTACATTTTATTACGTTCTTATTCACAACGAGCTCAAAGAAAATGTTCACCCATGTTCGACTTGCAGTTTCTCAAGTTGCTCCTGACATGAAAAAAATCCATGTTATAGAGCTTGTTGAAGAAACACTGCAGCTAGTTAAATGGGCTACATTTGCCCTTAGAAGCACCAGCAACAAACAGGAATACATTAAAATGTCTCTGTTTTCATTTGCAGTACAATGGAAACTGGTGGAAGAGAGTATTAGAATCATAGAATCATAGAGTTGGAAAAGACCTCATGGGCCATCCAGTCCAACTTCCTGCCAAGAAGCAGGAAAATCCTTCCTTTATTTTCCTGCATGTCCCAAATCTGAAGGGTTGAGGATGGAACACGCCAGATCATATTTGAAGTGGGTTGAAGGATTGCAGAAAGGAGAAACGAAATTCTGTTGCATTAGCACAAGTCTGCTTGGACAACATAGAGTGGAATACGTAGTATATAGCTGGCTAATATATAGCATAATCTGGTCATATTGCCCTCTCAAAAGCAATCAAACCATGCTTATTAATAAAACAGCAGAAGAGGATAAACCAATGATTGTACATGGTAGTGAAAATCCCTGAAATACTAGGATTAAGAGTTAGTATTTTCAAATCAAAGAAGCACACTGAAAACATTTGGCTCAATCCTACAGTGTGCATCTGAATTTGACTTATTTAGGCCCCAGCATAGTACTTGGATGGAAGACCACCAAGCAATACCAGCTGCTGAAGGCTGTATTTCAGAGGAAGGAACTGACAAAACAACCACAGAGTATTTCTTGCCTAAGAAAACCCTAAGAAATTCATGGGGTTGTCAGAAATCGACAGGCAGCC